AAATATGTAATACAAAAGTAGACTTTATTGAAAAAAAAAAATAAGCTGAAACATATACACGAGTGTACTCTATATACACGATTACAGTACGAGAATTTGTGCGACTACATTTTTGGTATATTCAATACTAACATTTCCACTCGTCCAGCAGTGGAGCTGGGCAAAAAACTGGCTAGCGCAGGAAGCATTCACAAAAAAATAATATTTTTTTTATAAACTTGCTTTGCTTAATTTTTTTCACCACCTATTACAAATTATCATTTTAATTCAACAACCACCAATCTTTTTTAAAAACTTACATTTTACCTTAAAATGCTATATTTAATTGCAAAAAAATTAGATAAAGAAATAAAAGGAAAAAAACAATCCGAACACTACTCTTGCTAGCCAGTGTTTATCACTAAATTGCACATTGCATTATGTAAAAAAAGCTTGCAACACTGCCTTTTAATTCATTGCTTACACACGACAATTTTAAATAATACAATAAAAAAAATACTATCGTCAATGATTTAAAAAATCTAATCATTGCAAAATTTCACATTTTCATTACGACAAAAAATCGGTAAAAAAAAATGAATCCAATAAATAGACAGCGAATAACTTAGAGAGTTTAAAACGTAAATTTGTTTTAAACAATCGTACAGTCACATTATTATATACCAAATGTATATTATTCTTAACAAATTTCAATACAACTTTTACTGACGGAAAAAGTTGCCATTTAAAAACAGTCAAATGATAAAAAAATAAATGCGGCATTACAATAGGCGCTTACTCTCAGATATGTATAACATCTTAATACTTAACTAGCGATTAATTTATATGCTATTATTGCTTACATATTGTATTTGGTATTACCAGTTTCACGTAGAACAACTACCACAGCTTGATAAGGCAGTTCAAACATTACAAAATAAGGTAGAATATGAATTCAATGATATTTAAAAGTTTTTCTCTCATAAATTACTACAAAGATTCCCAAAGGGATTAAATTTAAACAAAAAATACATTGCAAGATAAGTCAAAGCTTAAGACGATTGGACTTTTCCCATGTGTGCTACTGAAATAGTAATATTTAGTAGTACTACAAGGAATCATAAGATCTTGGAACAAGAAAACATAATAGAACGTGCGTGATAGTCATCTCACGTGAATACGGCCTACAGTTTTGGCGTAAAGCTAAAAAGGTATATTTGTACTAATATTTAAGAATAGCCTCTACGAGATTTTAGAATAAAAATATTATATTCTTGTGGTACCATTCGACAGGCATCCTTCACATTTAAAAAATTATGCAAAATTTCAACAAATCGATTCGAATACCAAAAGAGGTGCATTTAATATAATCATAATTATGACAAACTAATCTGCTTCGCATAAACAAAATAACTTAAAAATAAAATAAACTTCTATTTTGTCCGTAAAAAATAAAAACATTTTCTACTTTACAATAATACAATGGCTTAAGAATAAAGAGCAGAGGAATTAAAATTTAAAATTAATTATGTAGAGGAAAACATTACGAGTTACTATTACAAACATGATTACGCATTTATAGGCAACGACGCAAACCAGGCACGCAATAGGTATCAATTATGGTAAAATAAAAGACAGTCACGACCACGCTCGTATCTTCCAATCTGATCTGTGATTTCACAAATTTTACTATAAAGAAAAATCTTTGAAAGCTAAGAAACATTGATCCCATAAAGATACTCAAAATTATGCCTCCTTTAACATCAAGCAAAATCAATTTGCTACGCAAACGCTTCTGTGTACCAAGGGTTTGCTCCACTTATCTGCAGTACCAGAAATCACCACTAGTGGATTACATATGAAATCATTATTCCCGTTAAACCATAAAGACGATACCGTAAACTAACTCGTTAGTACCAAACGCATATTTTTCGTAACAAACGATCTAGCGTACGAAACGCCGTAAGTGTATAATCGTATAACTAAAGAGTAAAATTTTCCATACAATGTTGCCTCTACAAGTCTTTACAGGTTACAAAGAAACATTCTGATTACAGATTTCGTTTCCAATCATTCAAAGCACGTTATACCCTGAATAATATCCCACAATGTGTGCAAAGAAGTATAGAACGGCTCATGACATTCTACTGTGTGTCGTAATATCAATGTGTTATTGCATTGCCCAGTACGTCACATCTGGTGTTATATACAATTATCCTATATTCAGTACCGTACTGGTTTCGGCTGGTAATGGCAATGATGACATCAACGTTATTTCACTTTTAAAACTTCGTCTCATCGAGTGGTACATTCTTACTAGTTCCATTAATAATTCCCAACGATACCACTAAGCCTTTTTCCGTATAGTTACTTAACAATAAACCAGATGAACGATGATTCTACCACGAAGTATGTTCTACCAGGATGTTTTTTTAGTTAGATACCGCACATGTCAACAATAAATCTGTTAATATTGGCAATGGAGTGCAAAGCGAAACTGAAAGATTGCTTTGGCCCCTCACCCCATGTTCAGGGTTTTAGGGGTGGATCAGTTTAAACAGTCACACAATAACCACGATTTCCTATACACGGTAACTGTACTTTAACTTACGGCTTTTAAAAGCTACATAATACCGTAAAAAGCAACTAAAGGATACAATCTGAAGATAGGCAACAGTGTCAATTGGCGTTCGAGACAGCAACACAACATGTGAGGGATACAATCTGGAGATGGGCAACAGCGTCAATTGGTGTTTGAGAAAGTAGTATCATTAGGTAAGGGATACAATCTGAAGATAGGCGACAGTGTCAATAGGCGTTCGAGATAGCAACACAATAGATAAGGGATACAATCACAAGACGGGCAACATTGACAATCAGTATCAACGAGATTTGTATCGTCAATCCTCATAACCACTTAGAAACGAAATCTACCAGACGCGTATCTCATAAAGACCTGCACACAAAACAGTACACCTGAGTCGTCCCCTTTGAACCAGATGTTGAATTTCGCACCTTATATTGGCACCAAAATACAATATTTAGATTTTAGATACAAAATGTGAAATAAAAATTAGAAAAGGCTTGTAAATTGTTTTCAACTCTATAATATATTACAAAATATTCCGCAAAACATCGACAATTCATATGTCATTTGTGAAAGTCTTAAAGTACAAACTGCATGCCTGTTTTTTGCCAAGTCGTTTGCAAATAAGCGCGGTAAATTAGACAACGTTTGAAATAACTGATACGATTTGTAATTGTGACAAAAATCTCGTCTGAACTTTTCACATCCAGTAATAAAATAACGTAATTCGAAAAGTTAAATTTTTGGGAAACTAAAAACATAAATAAATGTATATTCGAAATAAAACAAATATCTTTTTTGTACATCGGATATAATTTTGTTACATTTAGGAACGGCGAAATTGCATATATAAATGGTAAATAAATAAATATTCAATATAACGTTGCTCCGCACCAAACTAACTACAGCTTGTCATGGAAATCGGAAACAACGACGGCGCCACTAACACCCAGACCCGAGACAATATAGATAAATGTTTTTCTACATTAACCCAGCCGGGGATCAAAGACCTCACAGATGGCGACACCATAGAGGAGGTCACATAGTGACGCCACGTACTGAATTTTCCCAAAAAATTACTTTTCGAATTTCGAAGCGTACATAGATATAATATATATATATATATATGTCCACAGACGCCTGTATCTATACTGATCAACGATATCATACTTAAAAAAAGGTACATATGTTATTAGCCTCCGCGTCGTGAAGATTCGAATAGGTCGTAATTGGAGCTTCTTGCAGTCAGCGTTGAGTAAAGGGACAACCGTGACTTTATTTTATTCAAATTGCAAGAAAAATATTTTCTAGTGCGTTTAGAAAATTCACTAATTTAAACGTTGATTACTACGAATGTCACAAACATCTTGTTTATAAGATCATTAGTACCGATATATTCAGACGAAATCTTTGCCTTTGGAAAATGTGTCCTCGGATGTATTTTTACCTTACATGGAACGATATTTCTTGACCTTACACGTTACACAAAAAAAACTGTTTTCCATAATGACAATAATTTACGATACGTGAAAAATCAATTAATCGTGCGAAATTCTATCGCTAATGTGAAAAAATTTACATTTACACAATCAGTGTGACGCCTGGTCTGTGTGTCATTGGTGTATGTCACATTTGGTGTGGTTTTTCTTTTAAGATTTCGCCATTGTCAGTATTGTAAAAATAATACAAAAATAAAGGCGATCATCGCTGTGAGAATCGTATTATTTGGTGTGTCACATTTGATGTGTGTGACATTTAATCTGAATTAAATAGCGATGGAATTTCACGATCAGCCACGTCGTAAAAAATTTCACAATAGTCAAAAAGGTGTGTATAAAAAATTAAACTAACCTCAACTGTTTTTTTTAATAATATTCCAAATCTTTGAGCTCGGTCTCCTTTTGGTCTTCTCTGAGCTTGTCTTTACGCTCCTTCACCTACGAAAGAAAAACTCTTTTCAACTAGAGCAAGCGCCTTAATTTTGAAAACTTAAAACAACTCACAATAATTTTTTCATGCATAAAGTTAATAGTCTGGATGTGTGGCGAATGCTTTGTGAAAAATTAAACATTAAGTTCTAAGATTAAAATCTTTATGATAATTGTATAATAATTAAGGTTCCTTTCTTTTACTATTCATTTTAATATTATTGTTACGGACCCCGAGCAAAAAGTGAGAGCGCACGCCGCACCGAACGAGTCATACGAGTCACACCGCGTCGACCGCAGAGGAACTACCTACTCGCTATTACCATTACTAGTAGAGAGCGCGACCGATCATAATAAATAAGAACGTTTTGACCAATAAACATACAGTTAAGTTTTAACAATTGAATCAGAAGTTTCATTCCTGATCCCAATCCAATACAGTCCACGGAACAATAAAAGAGTTATCAACGTCCATTGTAACAGTCCAGACCGGATCATTAACAATTATCATATCTCCCTTTACGTTTGTTTTACTTGTACGACATAAAACTTGGACGTAGTTAAACAAAAAGGATCCAATGCACATCCAGCCACTTTGGAGACATGGCAGTTTGAAGTTTAAAAATGTTTCTCACTCTTGTTTTATTTTCAAAACTTGTTATGTCATTTATTTATGTTTATACGTTGGATTTTTTTTTTGCTGATCTAAGAGGTAAAAATTTAGGAACCGCTTGGAACATAGAACTAATTTTTTTGGTAATTTTGTGGGTTGGATCCTTTTTGCTTAACTACGTCCAATTTATCTTTAGTTAAAAATCCTACTCAGCAATACACTGAAACAATACACGAAATAATTGACTAAATAACTGAATAACATTATATGAAAAATTTACTTGGACTTTCATTATTATGCACAAATTATATTCCCTGAAATTTAACCAATCTAACATTAAGTTATCCCTTTTTACATTAGAACCACAGGGTCGTTTTAGAGTGAACACCTCATATGTGATTTCTATACAGGAATAAAATAAAAATGTGGTTTAAAATATAGCAAACACAATGTTTGTAGTTAGCATTTTAATTAATTAAAACATTATATACCTCTTTCAGAAGTTTTGGTTCAACAAAAAATACTAAAATCAAACTTTGTAAAAATACGTATGCGAGTTTTTACTCTACTACTAATCCTTTATTAGGTATTTGTTGTTCAGTATAGAATATAATAAATTTATAAATTAAATATACTCTTCGGAGCACAGCTGTTTTTTACTTCAATTTGATTTATTTTTGGTGTTGTTGTGTTTTTATCTACTCGTGAAATCTTAACACCAGAAATTCTAAGCATCAAACGTAACAACCAGCTGTGGCGGCTTTATTCTTTTACTCCGAAGTGCATAATAAAAAAACCTTAACAAATAAAATATAATAAAAAATACTGAACAAAAATTTACAATGAAAGCCTTTAAAACCATTGAATGCCTTTACAATGAAACCCTTTAACCACGCGTAAATAATCAACGTCGTAATAGGGTCCTGGCAGAATACCAGCGTCCCTGGGTAACGGCGGCATTTGTGCTGAGCCAGTGTTTTTTGACTACCATGGCTTCCAAACCTATTTAGTTGAATCAATGTCTGTATATAAGTAACGATTACATAATTGAGGTAGCGACTTTTAAAATGTTTGACAAATTTATACGGCAAGAAGTAACATTATATAAATATTTTACGCTGTCGCTACCAAGGACCTTACCAATAACCTGTGTTTAAAATGTTTGACAATTTTATGTGCCAAAAAATAATATTTTGTATAGAAATATATTAAGCTATCGCTACCAACAACCAGTGTTTACAATGTTTGACAATTTTATGTGACAAAAAGTAACATTTTGTATACAAATATTTTACGTTGTCGCTACCAATAACCTGTGTTTAAAATGATAATTTTATATGCCAAGAAGTAACATTTT